AGCCCAGAGATAGTAGTGTACACTATGACTTTATGTAAAATTAACTTTAATGTGTGATAGGAATAAAACGCGATCATAAACGAATGATTTCTCCACTCAAATGAATAGCGGCTTGGACCTGGAAACAGTATACATGCGTCACAAACACGTCACCACTTAACAAGCGGATAGCCAATGAAGACGCGCCGCTGTTATTGCGAGGAGTTTAAGTTAGAGGAGAGTGGGGGTGTATTGGGGGGGCAAAAGAGTCAGTGTGGGGCAGAGTTCAGGAAGGAGACAGCTCTGGGGATAAAGCTGTTCCTCAGTAGGAAGGTAGATCTCCAGGAACAGGATTGAGCACCCCTGGTGCAGTATGTCAGTTTGACACCCAGTGGTTGAACTAGGTATTGCACTCCTGGATCAAAACAAACAAAAGTTAAGGTCTAGATTGAGGACAGGAGCGAGTGGTTTAAACCGTGTTCTAAATGAAAGCAACGGCACCCGATAGAAGGAATATTTGACATACTCAAAGGAGTTTTTGTCCAAACCAACACCTTGAATTGATATGTTAGAAACGGCTTCTATTTCTCACAGGTGAACAACAGAAAACTTGATGACATGATTACCTCAGGTACACCTCATATCTATTTGGTCATCGTCTGTACCCCTGGAAGACTATGCTGTTAATTACATTTTTATGTAATTATTTAATTTAATTGCTAAACAATTTATAATTAAGTTATTAGTGGGACATTTTATACTCTTATCGACCTCAAAGCATATAAGCTTCTGCGCCCGCCCTCTGCAGACCCCAGGTTGGGAATCATTAGTCTCTGTTACTTTATTGTGATTTTTGTCTCCATTTCAGGCTACTGGAGGAAGCGGGAACTTCAGCTGGTCGTCCACTAACTCAGCAGTGGCCACAGTGACAGTAAAAGGTATGATGACCACGGTTAGAGATGTTGGAGTCAGTGTGATCTACGCCCATGACATGAGAAACCCACTGCACTACGGAGACATGAAGGTGATTCCTGCAGTCATGCTTGTGGATAATACATATTTTATTTTATTACTATTAAAGGAAGACTTTACTATTTTCACTATTTATTACATATTTTTCAAGACATTAGTATTCAGCTTAAAGTGCAATTTAAAGGTTTAACTATGTTAATTAATTAGGCAAGTTAGGGTAATTAGGCAAATCGTTGTTTAACAATGGTTTGTTCTGTAGACTATCAAAAAATATTGCTAAAAGGGTGCTAATAATATTGACCCTAAAATATGTTTGTCTTAATTAAAAACTGCTTTTATTCTAGCTGAAATAAAACTAATTAGACTATCTCCAGAAGGAAAAATATTATCAGACATACTGTGAAAAATTAAAACACTTTTTTTTTAAATATAAAAAAAACATCACAGTAGGGCTAATATTTTGAGTTCAATTATTTTGAGGTGTCATGAGCTCTTTAAATAACCATATGAGTATGTAAATATTAAGGGTGTAACGATATGTGTATTCACATTAAACCTTTCGGTACGAGACTTTCGGTTCGGTACGCATTACGAACCGAACGATTCAATTCAAATTAATATCTAAAAAGCTAAAAGGGAATAAGTACAAAATATAATGTTTTCAGTGCAACAACGCTCAACATGGCATCCCAAATGACGAGGCAGACAACATGCTGCCTTCCCCGCTGTCATGTTAAACAGTAGACCATCGCTTTTGAACTCAGAAAATGAAAGCGATAGCGTGCACATCATTTACTGAGCGTGATTTCTGTGACGGAGCTTTTCTCCCTTCTCAGCTGTAACTTAGATCATTTCTATTTGCAATTATTGCTGTGGCACCTCTTGCGTGAAGTGTTAGATGTTCTCAGGGCTTACCTGTACTCTTGCTTTGCCCAAAGATCCCATCCCCAGCCAGGCTGCCTTTGTGCCTAATAAACTGGCCTTATTTTGCACGCACCCCTGGTGTATTGTCTGCCCATTCTCACAAGTCTCATACACCAGTCTTTTCTGATCCTTCCTTTAACAAACAGGTTTTAATTTTCCCGGGTTTGTGCCCATAACAACTATGTTTCTTAGGCCCCGTTTACACTAGTGCGTTTTAGTTTTAAAACGGCGTTTTAGAATGAAAACGATCCGCGTCCACACTCGCGTTTCACCCAGCGTTTCTGAACTGCTCTCCGTCCACACCAAAACGCTGAAAACGCACATCACGTGACCACACACACACTCTCAGGCAAGCGCTGTAGCCAATCTACCCAGATGAGAGCTGTGCTAGTCGGACTTCTCATCAAGCATCTCCCGCTGGATCTAACCTCACTATATTTATTAAACGGAATATTTCTTTCATCTTGTTGTCTTTATTTAACGACATATTCATTGGACATTGGAATCTATTACTTGTTCTCAGGTAACGTGTTTTGGCTAAGCGCAAAGATAAGTTAATGATTAATGTAACCACGTACATTCTGTATATTGACTGATCGCTTGCCTTTATTTCCTATAATGTATAAACTTATTGTATGTTATACTTTTATGATGGCCATTATCGATTAAAACTGATATTCAGCAAAGAGAGGGTGTGTTTCGTATTTTCACTGAAATTGAAAGGAGGCAGTTGTTGTAGGCTCCGTTTTGTTATAAATATGCACACAGTGAAGATGACGCTCATATTTGCAGCACGACGCCTCAACATTTTTGCTGTCTGTTTAGTTGTTAATATTAAAATGAAAATAGGCAGTTCCTTATATCATGTTTACATTTTATTGTTGAGAAAGTAAAACAACGTAGCCAGGGTGATGTGAATGAAGTTATAAAGTACACTGTTCCCTTTGAAGATTTACCCGTGTCCTCGGTATAGTCTGTTTTCCATATCAAACTGAGAAGAAGAGACTGCAGCCATGATCAAACTTGCGAAGTTTTAACTTACACGGAGAAGATGCAGGACTGAACTGTGCGTGTTAGGCTACTTAATATTCAGGAAAAGCCCCAATCAGAGAGGCGAATGTCTGCAGCCCCGCCTCCGTTTTCAAATGTCTCCGTTTTCCATCATCCACACTGAGACGGAGCAGCTGCGTTTCAGAATGAAAACGGCCTCTCCATCGTTTTCGAAACGCTCCGTTTTCGGCGCTCGAGAACTCCGGCGTAGTGTGGACGGATGGCGTAACCGTAGCAAAACTTATGCGTTTTCAAACTAAAACGCACTAGTGTAAACGGGGCCTTAGTCACTTCACGCCAAAACGGCTAAAGACTCGTTACGAAGACGATTCATTCTAACCACTATGAGTCGACTCTTTAATAGATGAATCAATAGTTTTTAAAAACTGTCCACTTTCAGATTTAAGCCTTAGCTGGATATTTCACTTCACTTGGATCTGTGTTGCACACTACATAGAAGCTAATTTCCGAAAACCCACAATAGGGGCTCTTTAACTGCTACAATATTATATTTATTTATTTTTTATAAGAAGCTTTTTGGTTTTAAGTATAAAGAAGGATTTGTTTTATTTGCTGCTAAGCAGAAACCCCGAAAGTGAAAAAAAAAAGGAAAACAGGATCATACTTTTATGATGTTAGTTTTAATGCATTAAAAATTTAAATCAGAGAAATCCTCTGGCTTTTTTCTTTTTTTGCTGTATCGAAAACATACCGAACCGTGACACCACTGTATCATATTGAACCAAACCGTGATTTTTGTGAACCGTTACACCCCTAGTAAATATCGAGCTGGTGTTTGCAGGTGTATGTGATTGAGCCGGTGGGGATGGAGTTCAGCCCCTGTGCGGTGGAGGCTCGTGTGGGCCTGCATCTGGATCTGCCCCTGCGAATCTTCGGTCAGCTGGGGGACGAGAGGGTGACACTCAGCGACTGCTCACACTTTGATATGCAGGTGGACATGGAGAGTACCGGCGTCTTCCAGATGTTGGAGGGTGAGTGGAGCTGATCGTTTTCTTTCTTGTATGGGAAACAAAACCTTGTTTCTTGATGCTGAGCTTCTGTACATCACCAATATACAGTTGCTAGAGCTGTCAGGTATAGTGCTGAGGATCCCTTTAGTTTTAGAGTAACTGTCAGACATTAAAGAGGAATTATACTCATTTTTCTTGAATCTTGAGTACCAATTCTAGTACGAGTACAACTGCATCCATCTACTGCGTCCATCTTTATTCTAAAAGGTCTTTAGTTATTTATTGCTGTAAAGAGTGTGTAAATTTTACAGCTTTTCTCTAGAATAATCAGAGCACCTGGAAGGGTAGGGTTGTCAAAGGACTTTGGTGCTAGTCGTTACTGGATTTAAAAAAAAAATCCATTTTACCACTAACATTTGAGCGTTGTTGAATTCCTAAACACAGCTGATTGCCTCTTGTGTTCACATGCTCAACAGATATGACTGTTATTGGCCACGAAGGTCATTGTTTTACCGCTCTTCACCGCCGTTCACCAAGTGCAAACACAGATTCCAAGCTGCGTTGATCAGCTGATCTGTTGTTGGAATATCATGCCAATTCCATGCGTGTTCAATAAGAAAAGGTCTGGAGAGGGTTTTCTTCAATGCCAAAAATATTAGTAATTTATTAGATACAAATGAATAATTTGATGACAGAGCTCTGGGTTACATTACCCAATGCAATACAAGAATTACATTCAAGAGGTTCTCAACTAACATACATTTTCTGACTCCAGCATATATACACAACTGATCTCAACAGGTGGAGTTTTGGTTTAGCGTCACTTATCAGTCATTTCGCAGTCCTTTGGCTCTTTGTAACCCCTAGACATACTTCCTCTTTCTCCAACCCTTCTCTGCATACCAGAACTGAACAATTACGTGCATCTTTAATATATTTCACAACTTCAACAAAGATCATGACAACTTGTGACATGTCCAGACAGCAGTCTGGAACAAACCTAAATTTATTCTTATTCTACTTTTTCCACTAGTCAGCAGCTCTTCTAAAAAGTATGCAGCACAGTAAAAAAGAAGAAGTGTGTCTGGTCAAGATGTGTTATAATACAAGAGAAAAGATTCATTAATCTGCTGTTAGTCTAAACATTTTTCTAATAAAAAATAAAGACACAAAAGTAATGAAAATAAATACCTTTTTTCCCCCACACTGTCTAAGAGCTGACATATGAAAAAACTGCTTATGGTTTGACTGATCAATGTGACTGCAAAGAATTTTACTTTTGGGTGAACTGTTCCTTTAACTCTACAACTTCCAGTGTTGTGGTTTCTGGCTCTTCCATTAATTGATCAGTCTCAGTCTGGAGGTTATAAATATCAGACTTTATTGGATATTCCAATAATGCAGGGACAGTCCAGAGCAAACCCATCTGCAGTTTCCCCCAGGACAAATCTGAAGTCCCTTAAATTGGCTGCACTCTTTATCCTTGCCCTATCCCACCTTTGTGTTTTCACAGCTGGTTCCTGGTTCAACAGGCCTCTCCAAGCTCCTACTCCTTTACAACCCCAATTTAAAGCCACCTCTTTTTTTTTGTCCTAGTAATGTACAGATCTAATTTATTCATCACTGTTTTACCACATATAGTTTAAATTTGTCAATCGTGACTAGTGTTTTATTTCAGACATCTAAACTGGACTCTTCTCTCCCATACAGTATGTGTCATTTCAGATATACATGACAGTTTCAACATATGTTGTCTACATTTCATGCTTTTCTGACTGTATTTACTCTGATGGTTTTGTATGTGTATCCCAAAGTCCTATTCCATGCTGTGTTATCCTTGCTGAAAAATCCAGCTTAAACCAGCCAACCATCTTTGGCTGGTTTAAGCTGGATTTTTCAGCAGGGATGACCCCTTACCTTAACATACCACCTGTTTCCAAAGACATATAATGTCAGATTGATATGGCTCACCACTTACTCAATTTAATGTGTCTTTACATAGCTGTAGAATGAATAAAGATCTTCTTCACTAGGGGGTCATTTTGAGCGCATTTAGTTTTTGAAATTAAAACAACTTTGTTGAAGTAAAACCGATATATCTATAATACCCGGACTTTTCCTAAATATGTGTATATTTCTTTCTAACATTGTTATTTTATTAAAATAACAAAACACAAAAGAGCTATGAGTATTTCTACGTTTAACTATCATAGCCATCAAAATGAAAGCATTTAATTCACTGTCTGCTACTTTTCCCCGTGACTTTAAATCATAGGCTGTGTCAGTGTTTTTCAGCCTTAAAAGCTGCTCTGCTAACTGTTAAAGATGCCTTCAAAGATGTTCAACCCAATCAATGGTCTTGCCGACATCATTAAATGTATTTGTTTCAAATCATTTGAGTTAATTTTTGTTTATTTTTCCACTGCAATCAAAATGTTGATCATAAAACCATAATCTTTAATGGGAATTATATAATTTGAATTGATTTTGACTTGACGTAAGAACTGTATGTAACGAATAGATTGTGTGTGTGTGTGTGTGTTTACATCTTTAGGTAGACTTCCCCCAGGTCAGAGCCACTGCAGCGGGATCCGAGTTAAGGCATTGATCCCCGGTTACACTACCCTGCTGGTTAGCTATACCCATAGTAATGTTCACCTCAGCGCAAAGATCACCATTGCTGCCTACCCGCCTCTCAAGGTAAGCTGTTGTAAAGAAGTGAATGTGGAGGACGGCGAGCAGAGATTTACATATTACCTTCATTCTCTCTGACAGCCGATTGACCCCGTGTCTGTGGCTGTGGTGACGTTGGGATCCTCCAAAGACATGACCTTTGAAGGAGGCCCCAGGCCCTGGGTGCTGGAGCCCTCCAAGTTCTTCAGAAACCTGACGGCTGAGGACCACAGCAGTGTCTCGCTGGCTCTGTTCGGACCCGCCGCTCGCACCTACTCCACTCATTTGGTCAGAGCCACATGTCGAGCTCTCGGAGAGCAGGTAATGTGATGTCATATCCTGTGGACCATCTGTTACGAATGTGCACTAGGGGTATAAGGGTTCACAGTCGACCCACTGTTGTGCATGCACATGACCTGTGGAATAATAACACATTTTTTAAACTTGTATAATCATCCAAAATTTGTAACGATTAAAAAGAAAAAGACTTGTTTAATGCCCAAATTATTAGTATCTGAAATGTTTCAAAATACCAAAAATGTTTTAGTACGGTTCAAATAAAAAATAAGTGTGGTGCTAATCCACCAGAGAAGGTACCAATAAAAGGGTCCGTACACCATACCAATCAAGCAATACAACTGTTTGTTACTGGTACATACAGCGGATCTCAATTATAATAATAATACCCATGATATTCATTAATCATAGTCTGAATAATGAGTAATAAAAATGTATAAAAGGCTTATCACAAAAAATAACACAAGTGGATAGAAGACAGATTAATAATGAATAATACAATATCAAGCAAGAAGATAGAATATATACAACTTCAGAAATGTGCCATCATCTTCCTCTCCGAAGACTTGGGAACCCGTTGCAGTCACATTGGAAGACCAACACATATGTCCGAGAATGCCGGATGATGCGCACCTGTCCCACGGCTGAGCTTCCAATGTTACTAAAAGAAGTTCTCACCTTTATAGCAAAATGTGGGTGCCGGACAAAGGTCAGCCTGCTAGTTGAGAGAGTAGAGGGAGTTGATCAGGCTCCTTCCTCTCTCAACTAGCTGCACATCATTTCTTATTGCACAGCAAAAATCAGAGGTTCTGAACTATCAGCATGACTGGAGTCAATGTCCTAACCTCCCCTTTTAGTCACCTGGTTCATTTGTTGAGTTACATCCGAGTATGATTGTCTGGAGTCAATATTGTACCCCTGACCTTATTAGAGAAACAGCATTGTGAAAGTCCTGAAATTACTGTCCTTGTCATGTGTCATGTATATTAGAACCTAATTCAATATTGTACCCCTAATCCTCTCTTTAGAATCTTGGTTCTTCGTTGAGCGTAAAAAAAAAAATTTAAAATCTAATATAAGAATTAAGATTAAAGTTTTATTTCTGCCTATATTGCTTTAAGTAATTAAGTAGGCTGTGTTCATAATCGGTTTACAAACCTAGCTGAGAAACTGAAGAGCTGGAAAAGACTCATCATTTAGATCACATGTTTGGAGCATTTTAGCTTCCCTGTAAAATATAATGATGACTGAGGAAGTTGTTATGGCACCTAAATGCGTGACTTCCTCAGGTTATTAAAGGTGTTTTCAGTTTCTTGCCTGCATTAATGCATTCGGTGTATAGCTACAAGTGGACACTGGAGTGTTTTAAAGCAGCAAAGATCAGCTGGTCTGTTTATAAGCTGACACACAAGCGCTGATACGATCCACTGATGAATCGACTGATCTTCATGGCTTTGAAACACTCCAGTGTCCCTGTATCTGTGGTTACACAGTAAACAGTTGTGAGTTCGGGGAACTGATAACCTTCGCGGCCAACCACAGTCATTTTTGTTGAGCACTTGAACATGATGACAAATCAGCGCTGTTTAAGAACTCGCTCAACAGCACTCGAGTGTTAACGGGAAATGGGCGTTTTTAAAATTTTAGTACCGGTTGGTATCGAATTCCAGTATCCTGACAATACTAATACCTAGATCGCCAGTGCCAATAGCCTAGTGGTAAAGTGCGCCGGCATATAGCACTGAAGTGCTCGCTGGTTCCTTGCTGATCCTTCCCCCTCTCTATGCTCCCCTTGTATTCCTGTCTCAACCTCACTGTTGTATATAATAAAGGTAAAAAACAAACAAAAAAAAAAGATTGGGATCTTGATTCAAACACCCACGCAGTCTTAATTGTAAATGATCGTGATTTGAATGTTTATTAATCACTTGGTGCTGTGCATTCAAATCTGTGTTTGACCGAGAAAGAGATTCAGTCTTCAGTCTTTTCGATCAGCATTATAATTTATGAGTTTCAAGCAATCAAATAGCACAGCAGTGGGATAGCACAGTTAATAGTTCAAATATAAACACTGATGTTTATGGTAAAGATTCAAATCATAGTTTAAAAAAGCAACTTGACGCTCAATGAAGTTTGTAGCAATTACGTAGTTGGCACCAAACAGCCATCAAAAATTCACTAATTAAAATAAGACAAAAAATATGTATATCATCTTGTTTATACATTTTGTTGTTGTTTGTTGTAAATGTACACATTCAGCATTATTAGCGACAGTAGCGCAAGTTGTTTTCAGATGTTACGGTTTAAGAGTTGAATATTTTATTTTAAAATTGTATTTATTCAGCTGGTTCTTTCTTGATTTATTTTTTATTTAAATAACAGGTTCCATAAGTTATTTTTGTTAAAGCCAAAAGTTCCTTCTTCCACAGTTCTTGTTGTAAATGGAAAGCAATTTACGTTTATCTCCTCTCCTGTTTGCTGATCTGAAAAATTATCCGATCCGTGACTCAAAAATCATAATGTGATCCGAACCATGAGATTTGTGATCCATTGCACCCACTACCGATATGTTTAGTCTTCAAATAATTGTGTCTTCACAGGTCTTGGCGGTGACCGTTGGGAACCAGCCCACCGTGACAAACCCTTTCCCTGCTGTGGAGCCGGCTGTTGTCAAATTTGTGTGCGCTCCTCCGTCACGTCTTACTCTGACCCCCATTTACGTGAACCCACAGCTGGACGTGTCCTGCCCTCTGCTGCAGCAGAACAAGCAAGTGGTGAGCATTCAAACTCTGCTGGTTTATTATGACTCAAAGTCATTGCATGTGATGTTATGTAGATAGAAACTCAATGAATGGAAAAGTAAAGTGTCGATTTTAAACAGAAAGTTCACCAAAATCAAAAATGCACTCATCATTTACAAACCTGCTTGAGTTTCTTTCTTCTGAAAGAAAAAGTAAGGTATTTGGTGGTAACCAGTAGCCCTTGACTCCCGTAATATTTTTTTTCTCCTATGGCTACTGGTTTCCAACGTTCTTTAAAATGTCCTCTTTTGTGTTTAACTGGAAAGATTAAATTATGAATGCACTAAATTTTCTGTTGCCGAGAAGAAAAACCCCCAAAAATATGAGCTGAAAAAAAAAGGCAATGTTTTGTGGTTTCGTTCTCCCTCCAGCCACACAATGGCTTTCACACTGGACGTGGAAGGAGCTGCTCTATGAAACCCATTAATTTCATGTAAAGACTGGTTTGTTGCTTGGTCAACCGAAACGCAAGAGCAATGACGCATTTTTATTTAATACATCATTTTTACAAAGCATTTTTAGTTTCCGTTTTCAAGCAAGTGCCTCCAGAAATGTTCCAAGTGATCATACTAAGTTTTATTGTATTTGACTGATTAAAACATTTTGCTGACAAATGTATAAAACATTTTGGTATTATTTCATTTTCATCACCTGACTGTTGATGCTTAAAGGGCCATGAAACCCCCTCGTTTCAGCAGGGTGTTTTCACACCTATACTTTGGAAAAAGTCAGAAAAGTGGGCGTGTCCAGCTCTGTTTAGGGGGGAGTGTCGGAGGAACTAAAGTTGGAGGGTGTGGGAGTGTCTATTTGGGCGCGCGCAAGTTTCAGAGTCAAAATACACACACAGGAGAAAGTGATGGTGTTTAACCTACATGGACATCTGTACTCGAATTATTTGCCAAATTATTAAATGGTGGACTTTAACTGCAGTTTGGCTCTTTCATTCAGGGAATTCATTCATGCCCCTCGCGACAAACGAGATTTTTGATTCAAGGAACTGCTCTAAGCGTGTATTTTTCATGCAATGTTTGATACCGCACGGCGAATAAGAGAAAAAAACCCTCAGCATTTCCCGGAAACTTAGATGCACACGGCAGGTAGCGTCAGAAAGCCGCGTGTGTTATTCCGGTCACAAAATGCGGTAAAAACCCTACACGAGGTTTAAGTTTGGTTGTGGTGCTAACATGTTTACACTTGGTGCAATAGTTAACTTAGCTCGATACGAACAAACTGAATAAACAAAGAGCACTGGTCGCTCACTTACCAAATCTGTAGAGACAGGACAATCACCAGCAACTAGAGCCGCGTCTTTATTTAGAGGAGACTACAAGCGAATCCAGATCTCAGCGTTTGCAGATGAGAACAGCTCTCAGGTAAACAATAATCCTCCTTAGACACGTAAGTTATTGTTGTAGCGCGTCGCGTACACTGTTAATCCACACGTGACTCCAGCTGCGCTCTCACAGAGAGAAAATGAAAACAAAACTTAACGGCAGCAAACTATAAAAGCAACACTTCACGCTTGTTTTGCAAATACAACGTGGCGTCTCTGCCGTCTACACTCTGACAGTAATTAATATTAATGAAGTTGCACAATAGAGCGCGCTGATTGGTTTGAACCAAGCTTTACTCATGCATTAATGCAGCACACTGTAAGACGTAATAAGACACTCTGGCACAGGCGTCCAGTCTGCACGCTGGAATACACGCTATTATGTCATGACCGTGACGCAGCTTCAAAAATTTGTTTCAAACCGGAAGTACGAATTTGCTTGAAATAACGCAAAAACAACCAATTTACACCTTTTAGTGAAATATAGGTGTCCTAATAGTGTTTTTAGCAGTGTGGGACACATATACGACTGTCAACAGCTCAAAACATGTGTTTTGGTGTTTCGTGACCCTTTAAACCCCTCTTTTTGTCTCTGACCCAGGTACCCGTTTCAAACTATCACAACCCAGAGCTGGATGTGGCGGCGTTTGATGAGCAGGGCAGGAAGTTTGATAACTTCAGCTCTCTGAGTATGATCTGGGAGTCCTCTAAAGTTTCCCTGGCGAGCATTGAACCCACCATGCCCATGCAGCTACACGTACACGAGGACAACAAACAGAAGAAACTTCATGGTACCTTTAAAATGATTGCTTGTGATACTTGTGAAATACAAATTATGGCTGTAACGATACGCATATTCATAGTAAAATTATTTGGAAAATTTATACTTGTTAAAAAAAGACCCTAAAGTGTGTGAAATAATGTTCTCAGGACCTCTGAGCACAACCTAGCAGCACTAATGGCAGCATGAATGAGTACCCTCCCTTTTAAAATGAATGTTTTATTAAACCATTATATTTATTAAAATAAGAGTGTTTTCATGTAACATCTTGATAAATAGATATTAGATTTAAATTCAAATGAGGTGTTAAAAGAAGAATCACAAATTACAACATTACAACAAAATATTTTTTTTTTATGCTTTTCATGATTTTGGTTTCTTTTTATTTACATTTTGTTTAATATTTTCCCCTAAAATATGCATTGAGGTGTACTAATTTTAGCACGGTGACCTAATAATAATAGTAATTCCTTGCATATATATATATAGCGTTTTTCTGGAAACTCAAAGAGATTTACACATTTTTTGGGGGGGGGGGATCTCCTGATCCACCACTAGTGTGCAGCATCCACCCGGATGACGCAACAACAGCCATATTGCGCCAAACCACACACCATTGGTGATTGGCACAAAGGAGATTGAGTGATGAAGCCAATTATGATATGGAGATGGTTAGGAGGCCAGTTTTAATTACCTTAAAGAATAAGGTTTACCATCTCATCTGAAAGACAGCGCTCACTGAGCAGTATAGAGTCCCCATCAATATACTGGGGGGTTAGGACCCACACAGACTGCAGGTTGAGCACTCCCTGCTGCTCTCACTAACACCACTTCCGGCGGCAACCTAGCTTTCCCATCTGTTCTCCTATCCAGGTACTGACCGGGCACAGCCCTGCTTAGCTTCAGTGGGCGACCATGTGAGAGTTTTAGAGAGCTAGCTGCCAACATTTGAATTATTTTGTTTGATTATTTCCAGATTTAGCTACCGACTAATCTGTTATAAAAACACAAAAATGTTATTGTATAGTATCGTTTAGAAAGTTTTAATTAAAAAAAGAGAGACAAGTAAGGGGTTGTACTTGCGCTGGATACTATGTTTTGAAGATGACAAAAATTGTATTATAGCATCTCCAGCATTTAGCAATTACAAAATCATCATTGTATTTAAAACATTCAAATAAAACCATACATTTAGAGCAGACATAGATCGTATCAACAATAAAAATGCAGGAAAGCCCTAAAAATAATTTAAATGACTGCTTTAAAAAAAGGAGTTAGTCAATATGATTGTTCACTCATTTCTATGTATTGTCATATGTAGAACTATATGTTGTCAGTGTGATTTATGTGTGTAATAGATGTGGTGTTTTCTGCAGGTCATCAGACTGTTCTTGTTCATCATGAATCGGGTGTTGCAGGCATCACTGTGACAGCGGTGGGCTATCAGACGTCCCATCTAGAGGCAGCAATGGTTCTGAGTGGAGTAAGTGTCTCTCTCGTCTCATTCTGCACTGCACTACATCTTGTGGTGTGGATTCAGATGCCCTGTAAATCCACCCTCTGACCCGAGTCAAGTTTAGAGGTTGACTATAATGTCTGTGTTGAATTTTAAATGTGCAGGTCCGGTGAAGTGCTTTGAAATATGACGTAATCTCAACTGAAGCACAAAGAGAGGGTGGGACAAAGTGTAGCTCCTCCCCTTTAAAAAAAACCAGCCAATAGCGTTTTGTGTTATCACCACTCTGCCAGTGAGGGTGGTTGAGCTGAAGTGCTTCAAATGAAAGCAAATGAGAAGCGTCTAGAAAGGGGCGGGGCATATTAGATACTAGAAAGCATTTGATTGGAGAGGGTGCTCGCTGCAGAGCCATTTGAGGAGAGCTGAGCTCCAGCGAGGGGGAGCATGAGCTGTCGCTCCTCCTCCTGTAAGCTGTTTTAATGCGTACACCAACTCCACCTCTAACCCTACCCCCAGTGACATCACTCGTAGAAGAAGTGCAAAAAAGGTGGAGCTCAAGCTTAAGCTCCCCCTTGCTGGAGCTCAGCTCTCCTCAAATGGCTCCGCAGTGAGCACCACTTGTTTGATTGCAGTGGCGCAAAAAGGGGGTATGCAGTAAATGCGGCGCATAGGGGCGCCACACATGGGGGGCGCCATTGTGCCAAAACTATTTTTGAAATTATCCATATTAAAAGTTTCAAATAATATATATATATTTTATTTGTTAAAAATGTTTATTTAGCATTTTATACGCGTATAATATTGTATTTTATTCAATTAAAAAATCATTCCACCCCTCCCCCCATTTTTTTATACCATATACATGTTTTTATGACTTTATTATGTATCATATTGACTCATCAGGCCTTTTGGTAACTTCTTAGCTCAAAAGTATTTTAATTTTAGCTACAAACAAAGTTATAACATTTCAATTAAATCAGGGGTCTCAAACTCAATTTACCTGGGGGCCGCAGGAGGCAAGGTCTGGGTGAGGCTGGGCCGCATAAGGGATTTCACAAAAAAAAAGTCCTCAAATGTCATTATTAACAGTTTTAATTATTTCTTCTGAACATGAAGTGTCCTGAACATTAACAGAACATTGAGTGAAGATTATGAACAGTTCTTCTGAACATGGCATCTTTTGCCTACTTCTTGCTGCCAGAGACTTGACAGCGCTTCTTCTCACAAATCTGAACCACCAAATCTGGCTTTAGAGCGGAAGCAGTTAAGACCCTCAGTATGGCTTGAAGATGATCATCATTAAGTCTAGACCTGTACTTTGACTTATTGAAGTCCTAGGGAAAATGTGGGGGAACTCACTCAAAACTTCCATTCCCTCACCTAAAAAAAAAAAGGCGTATACATGTATAAATAAAACACCCCCACCCCACTCCAGTCACATCAGTCTGTACCAGTCTGTATCTACCTATAATATATATAAGATGCAGGGCAGGCACGTGCACACATAAGGGCTCAACCTGTGCAGAGCACATGCCCTTTTTAGTCTTGCATAGAAAGTGCCCTTCCAAAATGATCAAAAGTGCCCCCGCGACGCGACACACCCTCGGTCCCGCCCTTCAGTAGGCGCGCGATAACACCGCTCTTGAGTACGCGCGCGACAACACAGCTGATCAGAACGCGCATTGAGTGACAAGCGCGCTGTGTACGGATAGAATCAGCGGAGCGGGAAGCGCTCTCTCTCACCGCTCCGCTGAATCTGTCAGTGTACAGCGGTCGGCGCGGGCCACAAAATATTGCACTGAGGGCTGCAAATGGCCTGCGGGCCGCGAGTTTGAGACCCCTGAATTAAATAGAACATTTCACACAGTTTGTTTCTGTTTTTTTTTAACACTAAACATTTGACAGTCTTTTTTATTTCACTTTTAGCAGTTTCAGTTAATTGTTCTTGCAAAGACAGACCTTACACTTGCAATGTTCTTTTGCCCTTTAGGACTCCCATGTCTATCATTTTGTTTTGACAAATGTAGTAGGCCTACAAAAAGTCCAAAAGCAAGGCTAGTCAAGGTGCTATAATCATTTAGTGAGGGAAAATTAAATTGAGAAGAACTTTGGGGTGGTATGAGATGCATTTCTTTGCGACTTAACATGCTTAATGTAATTATACCTTTTACTACTTCATACTATTTCAGTTGTGTTCAGAACTGCGAAGCTGTATTTTTTGAAGCATATTGATAACTTTATGAAAAAATATCTTTCATTTATTGATGGAAATATTTTCCACATTTTATCACTTGCCTGTTTTAAAATATAGTTGGATTGAAGGGGGCGCGCAAAAGTTGAAGCCGCATACCCATCAGTAAATATAGGTGAAAGTATAGGTGAAAAGTGACAAACTATAAGCTTATGTAGTTTACATGTTTAGCGGTTTTATATCACTGTTTTGGAGCACACTAGCTTACAGATGTTTTAAAAACCAAAATGCCAATACCAACTTCTAAAAAAACTTTAATTTCATGGGACCTTTTAAAGAGTTTTATAGTTCACTGCTTTCTACGTTCAGTGTGAAAGCTGCTTCACTCCGTGCAATGACTGCAGCTGGAGGGACAGTGGATCTTTGCTGGGCAGTATGGCACAGCATTACTTACTTTTCAGCTCATATTTTCATCCATTTTTCTCATTCGACCATTTTCGGTCTATAATTTTCCGCAGCCAAAAATTCAGGACAATCCCTTTCATCAAATTACACAATCACTATCCACTTTGCTTTCAGTTCCTATATCTAATCTAGTCCACAAATATGTATAATGTGAGGTTGACTAGTTTGTTTGTCTAGTATTCATAGACGATCAGTGCAGTGGGATGTGTGCAAACCATGTGGGGTTTACACTGTTCAAACCAACTAAATCTGACAATGACTTGAAGAAGATGCTGATACCATTTTTGGCAAACTTGTGAGTACTTTCGTTTCCCCAGAAGGAAATGACTGACGCTATAGTTACTGTTGCCAACAACAATGCCAACCAACACAGGAAGCTGAAATGCACTAGCTTTGTTCTAACACTTAAGTTGCACCCCAAATAATACGCCATGCACTTTTACACTTGTGCACTTCTACACTGCGAGTTTAGTAGTGTCCCAAATGGGAAACCAACATTTTTTAACTGACTGGAAATTCTAACCTTCCAAGATGAGGTTTAACAGTTGCATGAATACAACCGCACTCACCATCAGAAGAGGTGATGTAGTAGCTTACATTGGAGAATTTTGCTCACGTAATTAAAAATAAATGTAGCGCCCTTTCCCTATGTCATTGTAAGGGCCCTGAATTCTTATAAATTAGATCGCTTTAATTTGTAATTTTACCCCAAAAAGAAACCCATAACCTCATACAGAATAATATAAATGATAAACACAATCTTTTCCGAATTTACTTAAATACAATTAAACAAACAAAAGAAATAGGTTTTGTTTCAAAATAAAACTTTTCATTCTCCTTTTATCAAACTCAAACAGCAAAATCAACAGTTCATTTAGAAAAGTCAAAAATAATCCATATAAAATGAATGAAAAAATGTAATAGCCAGAAGAAGAATTCTTATGGAATGGAAATCACCAATGCCACCTAAACTGTCACTTTGGCTTAGTGATGTAATGCTATTTTTGAAAACAGAAAAAAAAAAGTATATTTTCTCAGAGGCTTCTCAACCAAAACATTTTTCAAAACATGGGACCTTCTAATAATCCATATCTAAACTAATGTACTCCTCCAACCATAAATTCCCAACACCCCTCATCTTTTTATTTATTTATTTATTTATTTATTTGAGATAATTTATTTATTTATTTTTATTTTAATTATTTTATTTTTATTATTATTAATATATTTTTTTATTGAATAATAAAATTCCTTTTTATAATAATTTTTATTATGTTCATTCGTGTCTGTCTCAAATTATTGTATGGTTAAAAAAAAAAAAAAACCTTGGTTATTGAATACCTATAGTGTATTGTACTTTTTGTAAAAAAAAAACACAAAAAAAAAAAGAAAAGAAAAATACTTAAACCCCGTTGCAGGCATGTTTCGGTGCTGGTGTTCGCAGTGGCATTAAAATGTAGCTGCCCCTTTGCCCTAAAGGCAAATAAATAACAGTTTACTCTTACCAGATTATTCTTATTCTTTGTGTGAATGCACTAGTTACACTCTTTACAGGATGTCAGCATTAATGCTCCTCATTTACCGCCTACTTGTGCATAATCATCATT